GACCCATCTAGGTAGCGTTTTCTCGAGTTGACACGTTTTCGGATGGTGGCTAGACGATCCTGCTCCAGCTTTACAAGAGTTCACAAGTTTTACCAAAGTGAGATTTGCAAACCGGAACAAGGGAAGCAGTGATAGTACAAAATGCCCCCCCGTCGATAAACAGCGCCCATTTTTCTGAGGATCAGTTCGTCTGAGAAGTTTTCTTGAACGGCGCTCCTACGCGTCTTAGAGAATGTCCTTCTCGCATCACACTGCAAAGGAAGCTCCCTTATGAGACCTGGTTAGCCGTCAATCCCAACTACCCCAATGATTCTGTCTTTTGAAGGACGAGTTGACGTTGCAATGGAAGCCGGTAATTGCAGATAGTATTATAAATGATGAGAACGTTGTTAAAGGCAGTTGGCACGATGCTTTATCTACTTAGCTTAAAATGCCGAGTAGGCCGCCTTGCTATAAGTGGGGAAACGGCGAAAAGAACGGAAACATGCTTTGCTAAGCAAATGAATGAATACGAGCGTCAGGAACGGTCGTCCATTTGTGGGCGGGCGGGCGTGGCGGGCGTTTGGGACGTAAAGTTGTGGCTTGATAGGGCCCTTATAAGGCACCTTCCTCGGGGAAAACCGCTATGCAGCGCCTAAGCCCAGGTCGCGGAATTCTATCTGTCAGGTGTATTGCATCCTGTAGTCCGCCTTCTGTGGGATTTATCGCTGCCAACTGCCTTTAAAGTAGCAAGATAAGGGGATTGAGGAGGGATCGGTGTAATATCATGAAGCAAAAACACGTCCGAGCGTTCTTCTCTGCTTTCTAGATAATCGTAAGCCGCAAAATAGTGTGCGTTTTACGGAAATGCCGTTTTGCTTCCCTCGTCACTGGCAGATCTCTTAGCCCATCGAATTCAATATCTAGAGCCACACCTTATGCGTGAGCTATCGATGAGTGTGACGTTACGTTTAAAATGGCAAAGCAATCACCCGTATGGAGAAGAAGAATTTTTTATAGCGGCTAGTATCGCCAATTCACCGAAGTACAGTAGGAGTCTGTAGTCTCTGCATTAGTGCTCTTGCTTACAGTTCCTCTTTCCGCTCCCAAAAGCATGGAATTGAGAATGATCTCGCGTAAGCGTACATCATCAGCCAAATTTACAAACTCACGATGACTCAACTAAGTTTCCAGTTTCTCAAAAATCAAAGCTGCTTCCTATTGTACAGTTCAATTCATCTTATACGCCTCATATCCGGAGCAACAAGAGCCATGACAGCGAGGTGGTGATAATCTAGATGAGACAGAAGCGGTGTGTGCAGTCATGAGATAGGACGTGGCGACGGGGCGTGGATCAGAGCGCAGCCGAGCCTTTCAAGCTAATTGTTGTGAACGCAGGATGTGTCACAGCTGGTGGCGAAAGGGCTCTCTGTAAGTTCCAGTCCACGCCCTGTCACACACCTCATCGTTTGCTGGGATCATGACTGAAGGTAATAACAAAGCGAGTGGGCACGGGGCGTGGCCGTCGCCGAAACACCCCTTTCGGCCGTCTGATATGGATGATAGCTTCGCTCTTGGTTTCAAAAAGTACCCTCATATGCGCAGTTCACTCTACACACTGACATTAGAACTTCAAGCTACTCAGATGCTTGGAAATCACCCCTCCTTCTATTCAGATGCTCAAGTGGTCAAATTCGACGAAAAGTCCGATGCTTCTTTCACCTGTCCGATCTACTCCGTTCCCGGATCTAAGGTAGTTGGATGCTGGCGGCTACGTACACCATACTTGGCAAAAATGATAACTTTTTGCAGGTTGAATGGTCCCGAGTGGATGGCGATCTCCCACCCAACGCAGTTCCCAACGGAAACAGACTTGAGTAAGTCCTTTTGAGCATTGTGATTTCTGCGACTTTTGAAAAAATTATGCTCATAATTTGATAACTGCTGTGATCACAACCGCATGGAACGAAGATAGGGATTCGAGCCCCGTCTGGTCTGACTTTTGCCCACAGCTCAGCACTCTTGTGATAATTCTGCTTCCTTTCTAGAGAATGTGAGAAGAGCATCGACCACTGTCTTGATTTCTTAAACTTCCTGTGCTAGGAATTGAATCATTGTATGGGATCAGGCTCCATTATGCTTTCCATTAGAGACAGCCCCGCCCTCGCAGTAGTACCATCCTTCCTATGTGCATAGTACAGCCTCCCAAGCTAGAGACTGTCCCACTCTATTCGTCTGCACAGCGAGCGAGAAGCGAGCTACAGCCGCTGTAAGTTCTAGTTCTAACGCCTGCTCAGTTGGACCGCCTTACTTGCTAGATGTCCTCCGACGGAGGCCACTCAGTTGTTCTTAGTTGGGGCGGCGGGCATTGCTAATGCCCATGGATAATTCTGCTCCCCTTTCATTACAGTTTACTCATTGGAGGTATATACATTCAATTCAACTCATTTCGCGAGGTGAAACGCGTAAAAAGCACGAGTGACGCAATTTTCGTGATGCAAAACCTCGACGCACAAAACGTGCGCTACCGTAATCCCAAATTCAGACACCGCGTTGATAAAATTTCTTTTTCCTTCCAAGAGTTTTTCCTCTGCGTTTTTGTTGTTTTCTTTTTGAGATGATATCAACTACTGCGAGATGTGATAGAGAGATTTGTGAGCTAATCGGCGGGTTGCAACAGAGACGCAGCGGCCAGAGGTGTGACTGTGAGGGAGCGATTTTGTTTATGTTGTTCTGGAGGACGCTTCTTGCCTGTTTTCTTCTTTGGGAGATTACTTATCAGCTACTGTTTCATAATTGGAAAGCAGCTATTATCGCGGGAGCTGTCTTTGATACTAGTCCCTCCTTCCTAATTGCGAGGAAAAGGGGTGGGGGGGGGTAGGTGTGATTCCGTCTATAGTTGTAGATTTTTAGGTTGGTTGTTCTTATAATCAGAAGGTAAGCAGATAAGCCATGTACAGTCCTGTTTGCTTCAGATGATGGGGCTTATCAAGGGGCCGATGGCGTTAGGCAACCGGTCAGCCCGCTTTTTCCTTATTTTTCTCTCTCAGCAAGCAACAAGGCTGCTTCATATCCGTCTTATCAGTAGGTTTCCACCAGTTGCTGTCGCTTACCGTCTTCAACATCTTGTGGAAAACGGGGTAGCGGTGAGCCAAATCTACACGCCCACGGACAACGGGCACGGATCATTCTGCTGCGAGCAGGGCTATAAAAGCTGATAGTTTCCTGGAGCAGCTAAAAATTTCGAGACTAGCACTTGACCGTAAACGCCTATCATCATTATCGAAGGGAAAGCTTTGTGTCCTTGGCAATTCTTAACGCGCGACACATTCCGTTGGCGATTAGTGCTGAAGACATGCTGAATAACCCGGGTGGAACCGATCATCGCAATTCCACTGTTGCGACGAAAGAAACTAATTGCCAGGTTCTCGAGAAGATATTGCAAGAATATGATTTTCCCATGTATTTGTCATTTCAGGATCAAAGATTTCGAGACAACCGCGCCGGCATGTACTGTGTTAACGCAAACAGTTCGACAACAACGTCGTCGAAGGTTTCGTCGACGCTCAAATATTTGGTCAGCCTTGAAAATTTCGAAGAACTCCCTTGAAAAAAAACTTTGAAATACAATCAATTTTCTTCAGTTCCCGACACCATCATTCAAGTTCTTCTTGACGTTTTCATCGGAATCGGTCAACGTCGGTGATCGATTCGAGCTATGGTTCGATTGCAAGGTAAAATTGCTGCTCGTTACAGAGCGAAGGACGCCCTCTTTCTGAAAGAGGGCGCTTTTCGACTTAGTGAGGAGGGCATTTTTCTGATTCGCCAGTTTCTTTTACAAGTTCCTGTAAAATTACACGTATGACCTTGGTGAAGCCTGTAGACTCTTATCAAATGTTATACAAAATTTTGCGGCGCAGTTGTCGACGGGGGGGGGGGCATTTTGCATTTCATAGATGAGTCGACCCATCTAGAAGCCTTTTCTCGAGTTGACACGTTTTGGGATGGTGGCTAGACGATCTTGCTCCAGCTTCACAAGTTTTACCAGAGTGAGATTTGTAAACCGGAACTAGGAAAGCAGTGATAGTACAAAATGCCCCCCCGTCGACAAACAGCGCCCAAAATTTGTGCTATTGTCTAGCTTTCAAGATTTTACAAGCCATCACAGGAAACGTAATGACTGAACAATGGAAACCAGCAAAACGTCCCACCGAGACAAACTGGGCCCAAAAAATTATTGTTCATTCTAGGTTACTGGAGATCCATCAGCCGTAATTTCATGGTCGAAGGAAGGAGAGCTGATGAATTACCGGACAACTCTCCAGCCGGTGAGTGCTTGCTCGTCAGCGGATTTCACAGATCTATACAGATGACCTAGCAGGCCTGTCCCCGTATATCACACAGTAGGTCCCGTAGGAGAATTGCGTTTCCGCAAGGACACCTACAAGCCCACTTGGCCACAGAAACTCGCCTGACCAATGTTGAATTCGTTGCGGCTGTCCTACTGTACCGGCTCTAGCGCCCTATTTTTTTTGATGCTGTTCATCATGAGATTATTTTTGCTACAGCAAGCTCCCTCGCAATCGGTCAATCTCCATGCGCGCCAACAAGGCAGATTCGGTTTGTTTCATTTCCTTGCGACGAGGGTCATTGCCCCGCCCCTAACCCCCCGCAACAGCCACTTTTCCAACTCCTGTAAAATGCGGTGTTTTCCAGCCTACCGACTCTTCTGAGCTGAGGGTGTTGCTGATTAAGAGCAGAAGAGCCTCAAGTAGCAGTTGTCGAGAACGCCCTTTCTCTTCCTGATACACGTACAAACATACATATAGGAACGCGGTTCAGCATGGGATTCTTCGAGACATTTCGGGCGGGTTTTCTGCTTTTTTTCTACTTTTTTTGTGTTATGTACCACCCTTTTCTTTTGTATTTTGAGCCGCAACTTATCATTTCTGAACGTGGGGAAAGCCTCCAAGTTTCTTCCCTCTTCCTTCTCCCCTCTCCAAATTGGAAATTTCCCTGTTTAATTTTTTTCCCCGTTAATCACAATTTGGGAAACGCCTCATTATCAGTGCCCTTGAGCCTCACAAATTTCCTACGTTTCTACCCAAAAAATGTTTGATAGGTTGACTTACAGGTGACCGGAGGTCGATTACTGTTCAACGAGGTGACTGAGGATAACGCCGGAGTATACAAGTGCCGAGCGAAGACGAAAGCTGGACCATTGGAGACGCGAACCGTGCTGAACATCGGCTCGGCAAAACGCAAGCGCAAGCATACCCGCGGTCGCCACGCCCGACGGAATCATCGACGACGTGCTGCGAATGCGTTAAGGCAACATAAGAAAAAGCTCTTGACGCATTCGACATTTGGCTCGTGGTTCTCAACAAGCCATTAGCCGTCGTCGTTGTCGTTCCGGCCCGCGAACGTGCTCTTTGTTTGTGTTAACTGCCATTCATTAACATCTAAAGCACCCATAAACACCAAACACTGCCCAGTCCGTGCGCAAGTCGTCGTGCGGCGAAGACAAGACTGCTGTTGCTGATGCTGCTGTTGTTGACATCGCATGAAAATCATTTCACTCATAACCCCGTGTTCCCTTCCTGTTCTCCAGTTCTTTTAATTTTTTACTTCTTTTTTCATCTTTCTTCGTGCCTCTTCTGTAGCTGTTGAATAGAGAGACTGCTATATTCGCTTCTGGTGAATTCCTTCAGAATCGCTGCCTTGGTGCTGTGCATATTTACTTTTGAGTTTATAATGACTTAAACCTAGTGCGTTGATTGGAGTGGCCTGAATAAATGTTTTATTTGATTGTGCGTGATCTCATTCGGCCATAGTGACAGTGTCCCGTCCAAAACTTCCACTTCTAACCCATTTTTTGCGGTATAGGCGCATTCACATTTCTTTGTTTTATCCCGCGGGCACGAAGAAAAGAAGAAGGTGTGGCTTGCGCTATTTCATGCAAAACATAAATGTGCAAGATGCGTTTCTTATGGGGTATCTCCACTTGAGATAACTGTTACCTGGGTCCTGTGCTGGACATGATCGCAGATGTGCCAAAACGGAAAAAACCTCACCAGAAGCGCAGTCGCAGCTACGCTCAAGGGGACACGACGTGCGCCTTTAATATCCTGAAGCAGTTAGGCGTATTGCAGAAAATGGGGTTGAAGTGCCAGCGTTCCTGTTTCTGCTCCCATCGACTTCTACGTAACTCAGACTTTCCCGCACTGTACCCCGACCGAATGTTTCTTCCCACAACTGTTGCCTTCTACACGCCATCCCTCGAACGCTTTTGAAAGGAGAGTACTTGGAGGAATGGTTTTGAGGGATTTTTCCGTAGCGACTGTGTCGTGACGTTATCCTAGGCAAATTACCTTACTTGAAACGCCAAAGCGTTCCACTCACACAGAAGCTACTCTCTTCAAGGGTTAGGAAAAAACCTCATCTCCATTATGCTAATTTTGGTTTTGCACAAGGAGTCACCTGCCCCCTCCAAGGTTACTGACGCTCGAAGACCTTTCATTGAGTGAATGTTGTAGACTTGACATCGATTTCACGTGTGCAAAGTCAGTGTAGTGGGCGGGCTGAGGTGTGAAAGCGGTCTCGAATGCAGAACGTCGCCAAGCATGTGTGTGGGCTAACTGGGAGAGCTTGCTCTTCCCTTGTGCTTTTAGCCGCCAGACTTCAGGTCAATGTCTGGTACCAAGTAGTTCTCAGGTTCACCGACTTCTACCTTCAAGATGGTGTAAAGTGGAGACGAGTGGCATGTGTGAGCATGAGCTAACATCCCGCAGGCGTGGCGGCCGCTTAGTGTAGTTCCGTTAAGCATGTCTTTCAAAGAGCAATTCACGTCAATTTCAGGTAGACCTGAAACTCTCCCAGTGGTGAAGTCGGTCGGTGAAGAGGTAAAATCTTTATGTGTAGCATATAAAATGAGCTAAAGTTACCCCATAGCGAGTGGAGCGTGACCCCAAGCACGAGTTACTCGTTTTTGACGTGAATTTCAGCGCGTAGGCAGCGCATTCTTAACCGCAGGTGCATTTGATACCAGTCGCTCGATGCCGACGCTTCTCCTACAGTGGTACGGTTCGGCTTTGTCGGGCGGGTTGTTCTTTCGAATGCCTGCATACTCAACTACATAGTACCCGGCTCTTCTCTTATCTGTGCATTTGATCAACGCTTCCTACCAGCATCCATAGACGGTAATGGCGCTGGAAGTAGCAAGTATGATGCTAGTGGCTGAGGTCGTTAACCATGCGTACAGATACGAGAGGAGCCGGGTTTTAGTTGAATGCTGAAACGCGCGGAGGACGGTACCTGCGCAGCGGAGTCGCGCCCGCCCAGCCGTATCACAGAAGGGGCGGCCGGCGAGACGACAGGCCTGAAAGAGCAATAGATGCTTGGGG